GGGGTAGAATGAATGAAAATGGGTCATCATAAAAAATAGAAAGCTCCATTTTAACCATTCCTCCTCTTATTTTTATTTTTATTTTTTAAAAAAAATAATAATAATTTATACGCTCGTTTCAAACAGGTAGATATGGCTAAAAGAAAGGAGAAGGAAGACAACACAGAATAAATTAAATATAAGAAAACAAATAAAGAAAGAAACAAAATACAATTGAATTTCTCAATCAGGCTTCTTCAACAAGTTCCTTGCAGCTTACGGATCTGTCATCTTCTTCTTCTTCTTCTTCCTCCTCTTCTTCCTCCCCCCCCATGGAGTTTTTTCAAGAAGCTCCTCTATTTAAGCACCCTTTTATCTCTTTCTTATACTTTTCTTAACCGCTTTTTCTTTGAATCCTCTCTGCAACTCTTTTAATCTTTTTTCTCTCATCTTCATCACCTTTCTCTCTTAAATCCCTCCATATATTTATAAAATCCCCTTCCCCTTTGTTTCTTATTACCCTCTTCGGTTTCAGCGGCACCAAATAACCGTGTTTGCTTTTGGTTATTTCATAATAATAGGAAAGACAATAAAGTTTGATGCTTAGAATTAATTGCAGCCATGGATGATCAAGAAACAGTTGTTAACAAAGGAGATGATCTCATGGATTTGCCTCCTGGTTTTCGATTCCATCCCACGGATGAAGAGATCATAACTCACTATCTGACACATAAGGTGGTTAACAGCAACTTCACTGCTTTTGCTATTGGTGAAGCTGATTTAAACAAGTCTGAACCTTGGGATTTACCAAGTAATCATCATCATCATCTTCTTCTTCTTCTTCTTCTTCTTCCTCCCCTTCTTTCTTGTTCTTAATTCTTCTTCTGATCTTAATGAGTTTTTCTTTTGCAGAGAAAGCAAAGATGGGGGAGAAAGAGTGGTACTTTTTCTGCCAGAAAGATAGAAAGTATCCAACCGGTATGAGAACTAACCGAGCAACAGAAGCTGGATACTGGAAAGCAACTGGAAAGGACAAAGAGATTTACAGAGGAAAAGGTTGTCTTGTTGGGATGAAGAAGACTCTTGTTTTTTACAGAGGGAGAGCTCCCAAAGGAGAGAAAACCAACTGGGTTATGCATGAGTATAGACTTGAAGGAAAATTCTCTTACTACAATCTCCCTAGGTCTGCAAAGGTATGCACTATTCTCACTAAACAACAAAACATGTATATATGTACGTATATTATATATTCATTTCGATCGTTTACTCCTTTTTTTCTTTTGGGTTTCTGTTAAAATGATGATTCTATAAAAGGGAAATTAAAAGCTTTGATCTTTTTTCTTTTATTGATTGCTTTTTGTTGAAATTATATGTAGCTTTCTTCTTGCTTTTTTGAAGTGTTTGGTTAAGAGTTTCTTTCATGGAGTAGTCTTTTTCTTTGCTTTTGTGTAAATCAAGATTCTTGATATACATACAATTGAACATATCTATATAATACTTACATATATATGTTCGTTTTGACAGGATGAATGGGTGGTTTGTAGGGTTTTTCATAAGAACACATGCATCAAGAAAACTCCATTAACACCCGATCATCATCTGTTGAGAATGAACTCTTTTGGCGATCATCATCTTGATCAGTTCATGGATTGTCCTTCATCACTGCCTCCCCTAATGGAACCCACCTTCTCCCCCTCTCCTCTACTGCCTGCCACAGATCAAAATGAATTCAAGACCTCCATGAATGCACCGGCAAGATCCTCAGATGGAAACTATCCTTTCTCTCATGCAAACATGATCAACAACAGCAACAACTACATTCCTCAATCTCAGATTAGCGCCAACATTTTCAACCCCCAAAACCAAGCTAATTTCTCCTTCCAAACATCTCATTTCAATCCTGGCTACAACAGGACTAGTACTTGCGGTGCAATTCCAAGTGTATCGCGTTCGGGGTTCGAAAGCAATGAGATGATTTTCCGAGCATTAGCAGCAAGAAACGAAGAACCAAAATTGGAAAGACAGTGCAAGATGGAGCAATTCTCGTCGAATCAATCCATGGTGAGTCAAGAAACCGGGGTCAGCGCCACTGAGATATCATCGGTGGTCTCGAAGCAGGAGAATAAATCTAATTATGATGATATTGCAGATTTAGATTGTTTATGGGACTACTAATTCAAGAAGAAGAAGAAGAAGAAGAAGAAGAGACTGACGCAGAAGATAATTGATTGATATTATTTGGGGTGAAGATATTCAAGGATTAATTATACATACAGTAAGATTATTATCAGATATATACATACATGTGATGATCTGAAGCAGTCTTTTCCAGCTGGGTAATTTGTAGTGAGAGTTAGCTTGGAATATTTCCAAAAAGAAAAAAAAAAAAAAAAAAAAAAAAAGGAGAAGAATACATTGTATAGATAGATTCATGGTGTCCAAAGATATTTTCATTGATTTTCAGGGTTTGAATTTAAATTTATTGACATGATAGTACATAGATCAGGTACCATGAACATTAGATATATGTATATGTACATGTATTCTTTCTTACTATATAGTGCAATTATTTCTTCATTTTTCCCTTATCTTCTTAATTAATTCCTGCTGGTGTAAAATCAATTGTAAAGTTCATTAAATTAATACTTTGTTATAATAAAAATTATCTTATACTAATCTACATCGAGCAGAATTCTTTGTTTTTGAATTTATGATAATAAAAATGTGTATATATACACTATACAAATATATAATTTTGCAGGTGAATGACCAGGTGGAAATTAATGAACGTATAGAAAGAATGAGATGAACCAGGTCATGTTGTCACGTGAATTATTCCCTGAATCTATGCAGCAAATGACTCCTCTTAATTGTTTTAATTAATTACTAATTAAATATTATGTATTAATTATTCAAAACATATACATATACATATACATATACATATATATACACACACTGACAATAACAATCATCAGGTTGCTTCAACAAAATTAAAACTTGTGTCTGAAGAAACTTATTATTCCATTAAATCACTACATGTGTCTCTATAAATTTCTTAATTAATTATTTTTTTAGTTTCTAATAATTTTAATTATTATTATTATTATAAGATGCTATATTAATTATAATATTTATTCTTATATATCCATACTTTTTATACAAAAATTATTGGATAATCTTTTTTTTTTTTTTCTTCTTTCAGATTTTGTTAAAGGTGATGGGTTACTTTTAACTCTTTGACTCTTTTGTGCACTTTTTAATGAAGTTGTTATCAATAAGGCAAGATACATACATATATATATATATATAAAAGTTACATTTGATATTAATTATAATTATAATCGAAACTACCAATTTCAAAAATTACAAGTACTAATATTTTAAAACAAAATATTTAATTTCATTCTCGACAGAATTAAATAAAAAAATGGTTAAAACTTTTTTAAAAATTTTTTATCAACGATACCATCAAAATGTATTCAATTAAAATTTTATTAAGCCATTGATACGAATCTAAATTTTTTTAGTATATGATTAAGTACGAATAATAATACACTTTAAAATTAATGATGTAATCATAAAATTCTCATATGGGTTATTGTAAGAGAAGACATTAAAAGATACATGTGAATCAAATGTGAAAATTTATGTGGTGCATGTGTGCTATATATATATATATATAAATGTATATGTCAATTAGCATATACTTACTTTCCATAATTGGAAGCCAAGTTTCCAAAATGATTCATACTTGCGGGAAAAATTAACCGCCCTTTTTCGCTCCACCATCTTTTTTTACACTGAATTTCAGGGAATTTAATTAATTTTTATTTTAAAATTAATATATATATATGTAATAATTAATTATATAGAAGTATTTTAGTTGAAGCAAAGAATATACTATAAGTATATAATATGTACACATGGAGGGGATTACAAGGAGGCAAAACGGCATATTCTCGGAGCTTTAAAATTAATTTTTTTTAAAAAAAAAAAACAAAACAAAACCCTGATTTGTTGCATGAAAACATGGGGACAGTAGCCAACCCGTGCCCGCCACCACGTGTTACCCGCCTGTCACCTGCGAAAAATGAACGCGCTTCTTTTTATTTTCCTAATATTTATTAATTATTTAATACAACAAATATATATATAATAATATTATTATTAATTTATTTTATTTTATTTAATATTTTAATGGTCATCCCACATGGCACCCATGTAATTAATTAGCCTTCATTCTAATCATGATCTGTATTACATTAATATTTTACCAAGAACATATTACGCGTTTTATACATGTGATTTATATAATATAATATATATTTAGCAAAATTAAAATGGAATTTATTATTTTTAATTATAATAATTTTTTTATTAGTTGTTCTCCACTTAAATTATATATATATACATATATGATGATATAATAATTTATAATCTCACTGTAGATTATAATTAAACTCCTCCGTTGTAAGTTAGTTTTATATGAGATATAATATAATGCTTCGTAATTACAATATCAACAACTCTCTAATATATTCTTAACTAACTTTAATTTGTCATGGGAATGATAATCAGTGAGATCTGCGCAGACATATACATTTATATTTATCTATTGGGTTCGAAATCAACTCGATCTTAATACATTAAATCTGAATTTATTTTATTTTAATATTATTTTTTACTAATTCAAACCTACTATTTAATATAAAAAAAAAAAATCACTACGAATCAAATTTAAATTTAATAATTTAGCGAATTTGAGTCAAATAATCAATGAGGTGTCGAAATTAAAATGAATAATTTATGTACCGTTTAAATAGTTAAGGATAAGAGTGGTGAAAACAAAAGTTATTCTATTCCGATCAAAAAAATCTAATTTTTTAGATTCAATATGATATGGTCGGAATAGGATACCTTATGATGATTTACATAATATATTAAATTTTTGTAATCTCTTTTAATATAAAAAAAAAGGACAAAAAATTAAAGTTAGAAGTATAGTCATAGCTAATCTGTAATACTCGGCCGTTACATAATCAATTAAGATGACATTTTAAGTATTTACTAATTTACTTTATATAATAAAATTAAGGTTTTCTTTAATACATACATTTTTTATAAAAAAAATTATTTTTGAAAATTATTTATATTTTTTCTACTAATGTACGAATTAATTAATAATAATAAATAAGAGCGAAATAAATTATAAAATTAGAAGATTTCAAAATATTATTTTTAATACTTGATTTCTATAAAATTATTTTATTTCCACTTTAATTATCTCAATTACAAAAATGTGTATAAATACATATGATAATATAAAGATGTGTATAAATATATATGATTTTTTCAAAAAATTGTAAAACTTAAAAAATATTGTCATTCACAAAAGAACAAAGAAACCAAATTCTCTGAAAACACATGAATGTAAAAACTAATAATTTATTCATAATTTATTATAGATTAGATATTTAATGATGATAATAATGTAAACACATATGTATATATATATATATATATATATAATGAAACATGGTGTAAACGCGCACGCACGCACACACACACAGAGATATATATATATATATATATGTATATGTATATCCATGGGCATATCCCATTTTATCAATCATCAAGCTGATGATCAAGAAGCTGTCACAGCAAATGATGGGAGATTTAATGCCGATGATATTGACTTCTAATCAAACCTTAACCTAATCTTTACCAGTCATTTTGACAACGATATATATATATACATATACATATATATCATGTACATATTATACCTGTAATTTGTATTAGATTAATATAAATGTATACGTAATCTTCTAGATATCGATTCACATCATGACGTCAACGAATATATATAATGACTGTTACTATTTCCGAGTCCCACAGTTCTAGATTATACACACACACATATATATATATATATATGTTGTTAGATACATATTTCATCGTGAATTTTGAACAAGAAAAATCAAAATTCTATCTAAATCTTAATAATTAGTTACTAATAAATTTCAATGAAAGTTCCTTCAAAAAAATAAAAATAAAAAATTTATGAAAATTTGAGTTTTCATATATACATATATATATATGATATTTATTATGAAAACTATTAACGATGGAACCAAACTTTGAATTTTGGTTCACCATTTCCATACATAAATTGTTATAAATTGGTCAAATGTTATTTAATTAATTATGATTTTAATTTGAAAATTTATAATTTCTTTTTTAATAATTCATTATATTAAGATTCAAATGTTTATGAAATTTACTATTTCGTTATAATTAATGACGAAGAAACTTCGATAAAAGTTCTAAGAAAAAAAGTAATTTCACGAAATGTTGATTTTTCATATACATACATATGATATCTATTATCAAAACTGTTAATAATCGAATCAAGTTTTTAATTTCGATTCACAATTTTCACATACAAATTATTATAAATTGGTCAATTTTTAGTTTCACCTATTATAGTCTCATTATAATTAATGACGAAGAAATTTCAATGAAAGTTAAAACAAATAATAATAATTTCACAAAATGTTGATTTCTCATATACATACATATGATATATATTATCAAAACTGTTAATAATCGAATCAAGTTTTGAATTTCGATTCATGATTTTCACACACATATTATTATAAATTGGTCAAATTTTAGTTTCACCTATTATAGTCTCATTATAATTAATGAGAAAGAAACTTCAATGAAAGTTCTAAGAAAAAAAGTAATTTCACGAAATGTTGATTTTTCATATACATACATATGATATCTATTATCAAAACTGTTAATAATCGAATCAAGTTTTTAATTTCGATTCACGATTTTCACATACAAATTATTATAAATTGGTCAATTTTTAGTTTCACCTATTATAGTCTCATTATAATTAATGACGAAGAAATTTCAATGAAAGTTAAAACAAATAATAATAATTTCACAAAATGTTGATTTCTCATATACATACATATGATATATATTATCAAAACTGTTAATAATCGAATCAAGTTTTGAATTTCGATTCATGATTTTCACCCACATATTATTATAACTTGGCCAAATTTTAGTTTCCCCTATTATAGTCTCATTATAATTAATGAGAAAGAAACTTCAATGAAAGTTCTAAGGAAAAAAATATTTTAATGGAATGTTGATTTTTCATATACATACATATGATATCTATTATCAAAACTGTTAATAATCGAATCAAGTT